TAAATATAAAATTATTCCACTCAAAAGTTTAAGTTATGATTTGGGGTAGTGGTATATGTCGTTGTGTGTGTGCTCACCTATGTGTACACACATGGGGGACAAACATTGATATCATGCGTCCATCTTTATTATTCTATGCATTCTTGTTGTTGTTGTTTGTAAACAGGGTCTCTCACTGAACCATAAGCTCAATGCTTCAGCTAGCGTGACTGTCTTGCAAGCTTCTGGGATCCAGCTGAGTTCAGGTTCCCAGTACTAGGTTTACAGGAGCATGCCACCACACTTAGCTTTTCACAAGGTTGTTGAGCATCCAAATTCAGTGCTTGTTTAGAAAACACTGAACACACCAAGTCCTCTCTCCAGCTCCCTTACCTTATTTTTTGAGAAAAATTCTCTCAGTGAACCAGCACACATGTGGAAGTCAGAGGGCAATCTCTTCTCCACCATGGGTCTGAGGACCAAACGCTGACATTCAGGCTTGTGTGGCAAGTGCCTTTATCTGCTGAACCATTTTTTGGCTTTCATTTGAGACTTTCTAGTTCTACCTTGTATTCTCTTCGTAGACATATGGCATACTGTATTTTGATCTCTTGCTGAGTGGATCTTCCTGTCACACATATTTGTATTATCTGTAGGCTTGTGATAATGCTGTTTATTCCTTTTCTTTACAGAACCTTTCACCCTGATATTTTTCTGTTGGTTAGATTGATATAGAAGAGCTAGATAACACTGCCGATTGGTGCTGGTGGGCTGTGTGCTTAGTCTTTGCAATCTCACAGGGCTCTCTTTTCTGTTGTTTCAATGTCATGTCAAAAATAGCACTTCACATTCTAAAATTAAAGAATTATTTTTTACAATTATTTTCTTCTGCCAGCTCTTTGCTCTTTCCCCATATAGACCTGAGCTTTCTCTTTCTTTAGCTTTTTTTCCTGCCCTTATCTTTCTAAAGCTCATGGCCTGTCCTAGAAGTTACTCGAAGAATAGGTCCTGTCTCAAATGGCATGTGGGTCACTCCATCTTGGGGGTTCACATACAAAGAGGCTGGAGCACCGCATCCTTCAGGTCTTTTTGTTCTCCTCACGCATGGACATGACAAGCCCTTCAGCTTCCACGGCTGCTCTCGAGTGGAGCCTCTGTGTTTTCTCTCTTGCCTCTCATCGGTTTTCAGCTCTGTCTGCTGCCCTGTTATTCTCCCTGTCCCACAGAGATGCCCATTCTATGACAGCTTGTTACTGCTCCCTAGCCCGTTACCTAGTTTTGTTTTACCTCAGTGTTCAGTTTTATCAGCCAGCTGCTCTGACTTTTCTATGGTCATTCAAGAATGTTCATACATGATGCAACCCTGATCAAGCTGGTTTTCAGAATCTCTCCGTGTGTGTGTGTGTGTGTGTGTGTGTGTGTGTGTGTGTGTTTACATTTTAAGTCACAGCAGGAAAAGGAAACATTAAACACTCCTTTTTTTTCCTTCTGTATATATGTTGCTTTTATTGGTTGATAAATAAAGCTATTTGGGCCAATGGCTTAGCAGAGTAAAGCCAGGCAGGAAATCAAGTCAGAGAGGTGGGGGGGGGGAGGATAGAGTCAGAGAGAAACCATGTAGTTGCCAAAGGAGAAGGACATAGGAGCCTTACTGGTAAGCCACAGCCTCATGGTGATACACAGTTAATAGAAATGGGTTGGTTTAAGATGCAAGTGCTACCTAAAAATATGCCTGAGCCATTGACCAAACAGTGTTGTAATTAATATAGTTTTGTGTGATTATTTGGGTCTGGGTGTCCAGGAAATAAACATGCAGTCTCTGACTACAAATGGAGCTAAGGCAGGGCAATCACATTCACATAAAACCTGAGAGAGCTTGGGGAGGAATTCTAGACACAAGAGAACAGAGTTAAGCACGGCTTCTTGGTAGCAGCATTTCCTCGGGTGGGCTCTGTTTGCTAGAAACAAGCACACCTTTTTTAAGAGAAGGTTTCCTGACTCAGTGTTTACAGCAAAAACTGAGCGGCTTCTTTAAGAGATGGTTTCCTGGTTCGTACTCACTACAGTCTTAAGTAACTTTTATATTTTGTTTGGAATTTAACCACAGTGATGAAAAACTTGGAAGAAATTAGTGAATTTGGAGGCTAGCAAGATGGCTTAGCAGGTAGGGTCCTGGCTGCCAAGTCTGATGGTTGAGTTTCAGATTCAGGACCCCTGTGCTAAAAGGAAAGAACACCCACAGGTTATCCTTTGACTTTAACACATGCACTGTGACACACATAACTGAATAAATAAATGTGATTTTAAAATATTTTTTGAAGATTAGTTATTTAAATGCAGTTGGACTGGAGAAATGGCTCAGCAGCTAAAAGCATGTGTTGCTCCTACAAAGGACCCTAGTTCAGTTCCAGCACCCATGTTGGGGGTCTCTCTCTCTCTCTCTCTCTCTCACACACACACACACACACACACACACGTGCACACACATAATTAAAAACAATAAAATAATTTTGTAATTAACCAGTTATAACAAGGGACTAAATTTTTGCAAAATCACATTTTCACTAAACTATTTATTGTACATGTCCATGTTTGGAACACACCCTTCACAGTAGTCGTTTTAACACCTTCAGGAGATTCTGTGAATAGATGTACCGAAACTGAGGCAGCGACTTATTGTTGAACATGTGCCGCCTCCATTGATGATGTCATAAATATCTTTGTGTGCTTGGCTGTTTGTTTTTATTGAATTATTTCCTTATGAAAGATTCCCAAGAGTGGGATGACTGGGTCAAGGGTAGGAACATCTCCCTGACTCTAGCAGTTTATAATCTAAAAATTTGTTTAAGAATTATTTTTTGGTTATAGGGGAAAGGTTGAGGCTCAGTTGTCAATGGTGAGAATACTACAAGGAAAGCCCTGCTCCCCAGCGTCACTGCTAATGGAACCTGTCTCCAAGCTGTCATTCTCTCCTATTCATTTCATTCAGCTTTCCTGTTTGGGATGCATTTATGGAGTGCACTCTGCAAGAGCCCCTGGGGTTTCTCCCTTCCTTGCTGCAGTGAACCCCCAAGACTGTTCTGTCCAATAACTGATTCAACACGCATAGTGCCAAGAGGACCAGGTCGGAGGTGCATTTGCCTGCTCTTCCTGAGTAGTGTGAGGCTGCTGTGGCCTGCAAGACAGCTCCCTCACTTTCCCCAATGTGTTGAGACTGTCTAGGGATTCCTAGAATCTTCTTCCAGAGAGATCTGGTGTTAACAATCCATACCTGTCCATAGTTGGGGATGAACCCCAGGCCTAGCTCTGAGAAGAAAGAGGAAAGTCTAAGCAACTGTAACTGCACCAGCTGACCTGTAAGATCATCTTACTGCCTTTGTCCCAATAAACTGCTGAGCTAGAAATAACCTCATTGTGACCTGGACACAACCTTCCTGTTATCTGGACTCAACCCACACTTAACCTTCAGCTTCATTTTCCCCCAGCCTATCTTCCCATGATCCCTGAAAACTGAATCTTGATCTAAAACCAGATCCCTTTGGTTCCAGTTCTGGATGTGGTTCCGAGTCTCAGCTTATCCTAGTAGGCATTTCCCCACATGAGAGTAAGATCCTGCTACACAACCTGCTGAGGTTCTATATTTGATCGCCTGAGTGCTGAAAACCAAGATCCTGGACCTGTCTCTACTTTATACTCCATGGCCTTACCTCCCACCCAATGAAGCCTGCTATCACAACCTGTCTATGGTGGTTTGAATTGAAAAGGCCCCCAAAGACTCATGTGTTTGAATACTTGGTCCATAGAGAGTAACACTATTAGGAGGTGTGGCCTTGTTGGAGTAGGTATGGCTTTGCTGAAAGAAGTATATCTCCAGGGGGTGGGCTTTTCGGTTTCAGAAGCTCAAGCTAGTTCATTTCTTGCTACCTGTGGATCAAAATGTAGAACTCTCAACTTCTTCCCCAGCACCATGTCTGCCTGGACATCATAATGCTTCCACAATAATGATAATGGACTAAACCTCTGAACTGTAAGCCAGTCACAATTAAATGTTTTCCTTTTTAAGAGTTCCATAGCCAGGCATTGGTGGCATACATCTTTAATCCAAGCACTTGGGAGGCAAAGGCAGGTGAATCTCTGTGAATTCAAGGCCTACCTGGTCTACAAGAACTAGTTCCAGAATAGGCTTCAAAGCTACAGAGAAATCTTGTCTACAAAAACAAAACAAAACAAAAAAAGAGTTGCCATAGTCATGGTGTCTCTTCACAGCAATAGATCCACTAACTAAGACACTGTCCTCCCTTCACCATGTCTTCATAGCCCCTGTCAAGACCAAGTAATTCCTGAGACCATCCATGTCGCCAGGGGACATGTATCTAAGCTTGCTAAGTTAATAATCACAGTGTTTTCAAGGTGAGCAATCCAAGGGCGAGAGAGTAAACATGACTTTTCAGAAGTCAAACAGCAAGCCTGTAATCATATCTGTGCATGGAGCCCAGAGTTCCTGACTCCTGGACGGAATGAGCAGGTGGAACAATAGAGAAGGAAGGTAGGAAATGACTCTAAAGCTTAAGTTAAACAACTATTCGTAAGACCCACAGCGTGGAGTAAGAGAGACGGCCCAGGACTTGGACGCAAAGACAAGTCTCGCTTTTCAAGGCCTGAGTATGAAATCAGGAAAATCAAATCATAGGGGTGTTCTTAGGTGGAGCCCTAGATCACTGGACTTGGTTTAGTTGTATACCAGACTGTCCCAGATACCTGGAGTAGGGACTGGCCAATGGGTGCAGGTCAGGGGCGGGTCCTGGGGAAATCACACTTACAGCCCAGAAGAGAATAGACACAAACATGAGGACTGGAAACGGGGCTGACCTCACTCACACCCAATGCCCAGAGAACTTACACATCACTCAGGGCCCCCCATACCACAGGAGCTATATAACCATTGCTCAAAATATATCTCCTCACAGTCCACAGAAGTCTAATACTTCCTGCAGTGTTTCTAGAAGATCCAGGACACATACCTTCTCTGCAGCTGGTTTCCCAGGGTCAATGGTTCTTTAGTACCATGTTGCTTGGCACTGTATCAACCCAAGCACAAAATTTTGCCCTGTAATAAAAAAATTAGAATGCCATATATTAGGTTAATAAACTTTTCTGAAAATGATGGGCAAAGGGTGTCCCCTCTCTTTAGACAATTCTACTATGTGCTCCTCTTCTCCTCAGTCCTTGTGAACAACCCCAAAGACAGTTTTCCCTATTGGCTTCAACCCTCTGTCTACCAGCATGGCAGCCATGGTACATGTATCTTCCGCCTCCCTTTCCCTCCTTCCCTGTCTCTTCTGTTATTTTCTCTCTTGTTGATCTCTCCAGTATCAGGCATGCATTTAGAATGTCCTACCTTATGCAGCAGTGTGCCCCTGGCCATGACTTGCATTTCAACTGAAATCCATGAGTTCAGTTGAATCCCAGAACCAGACAAGGAAAACTTAATCTGCCCTGTGCCTTCGAAGGCATTTTATAGACTACTAGTAGAGGAAAGAGGCTCAAAATTAAATACTGCTTTTATCTGATGAGCCAAAGTCATGTGTACGACAACCAGAGGGTCTCAATGTTTTCAGATCTGTGTAAACTCTCAAAGTATTCTCAGGCTGCAATCTCTGGGCAAAATGTAACTTCAACCCAACTGCAAACATCACTCAGTGAGCATTTCGTGCAATCAAACTAGGTAACCAGGTGAGCAATGAAATTTCAAGACACATGGATTGTTTCCTTCACTAGTTAGTGGCATAAAACAGCGTGAGTCTATTGTTTTTGAGAGTTTCATGGGTCAGGAATTACAAAGGGAGTGATAAGGACAGCTGTCATTTGCTGCCCAGTGTCTAGATCCTCAGCGGCTGGGGATTGATTACCAAATGGCTGGATTCTTTTACTCATCTGTCTAGTATTTGTGCCCCTTCCCTGTCTGGCTTTCTCACAACATAGTGGTTAGGTTCTGCGGTAAGAAGCCTCTAAGAAAATCCCCCGAGATCCCTACCTGCTGGAACATATAGTCTGTGCAACCTCATTCCCTTGACTAACTTCTAGCTAACTAACTAGAACATGTCAATACTGAGAGAACAGTTTTCTCATCAAAGGCATGTGGTGTATTATCTCTCCATTCCTCTTGTTAGCTTTAATGAAGCAAGCTGTCCTGTTGAAGAGGCTCCAAAAACCGGCAGAAACTGAGGCCTTCCATTTAACAAACCTTAAAGAATGGAATTCTTCGCTCAAACCATGGAAGTGGCCTTGGAACTAGACTATTCTCCATTTGTACTTTCAGATGAGAGCCCCAACCCCAGCCCTTTCCAGAAACCTCAATCACACTCTTGTGACATGTCCTAAATCAGAGGATCCAGCTGGATGGCTGAATTCCTAACTCATACAAATTGTGAAATGAATAATAAATGTGTGTTATCTTAAGTTGATGTCTCGGAATCCACTTTTTTTTATGGAACAACAGATATCTAATACAGGCTCCAAGAATGTGTGTGCCATAAAAACCATGCAGAAGGTCTGGGAAGATGGCTCACTTGGTAGTGTTTACTGTGCGAGCATGAACATCTGAGTTTAATCCCAGTACCCATATATATTAAATTTAAAAAGCCAGGCATGGTGATGTACTTGTAACCTCATCACAGGGAGTCAGAGACAGGAGGATCCCTGGGGCTCACTTGCCCACTGACAAGCTAGCCTAGTGAGCCCCAGGTCCCAGTGAGAGACCCTGCTTCAAATCACAAGGTGGACAGTGCCTGGGAAATGCCTGAGGTGGACCGCTGATCTCCAGGTGCACACATATGTGTGTGTGTGTGTATGTGTGTGTGTGTGTGTATGTGTGTGTGTGCATACTGCCTGAGATGGACCTCTGATCTCCAGGTGCACACATATGTGTGTGTGTGTGCATATTGCCTGAGGTGGGCCTCTGATCTCCAGGTGCACACATATGTGTGTGTGTGTGTGCATACTGCCTGAGGTGGACCTCTGATCTCCAGGTG